TGTCAATGAATTACAGCAGACAGAAGACTGGGTTGAAAAAGATGCAGCACCAAACAGTTGAAGAAGAAACTGATAAAAGGAACAAGGCTAAGAAGGCCCAACTGGAAAAAGAGAAGAGCCTTGATCCAGAAAAAAAATAAGACAACAGAAAGATGTGTTAATTTCTACTTTGCTTGATAAGTATCATCTACAGTCTGCACAGGTCCTGCATGAAATACTCACTGGGCAGATAGTTGGATGTAAAATGAAACACATTTGGACAGTTGAAATGTCAATAAAAGTGAATACGATATCAGCTACATCATTAGTTATGCAAATCCTTTTATACAATTTCATATCTCAATGATATAAGCTATTATCAATTGAACAAATGTAAATTTTCATTGACTATCTGATGCAGGACTTTATTTTGAAAATAAGCCCAGCAATGATGATTGAAGATGCAAATAAGAGTCAACATTTTTTTTCAGGGTCAAAAAATATTTCTGAAAGTCTTTTCACCATTATGCATAGAAGCAATTAATATAAATATTTTTAAATTAATATTGTTTTGAAATTGGGTTAAAATAATAAATGTTTAAACAATTATGTAATTAATAATAAAATTTAAACATAACTATAAAAAATTTAATGATAAATAATGATAACAATTGAATAAAGAATAAAATGAAAAAAATTGTTATATAGGAATAAAGTTTCACTTTGAAAGTTGAGTTTTGAACATAGATTGCCAATGAGCAAACACAGGTGATCCCATTATTGAATTAAGTGGATCAAATGACCATGGAGAAAAGTATTAAAATAGTCACGTGACATTTTAATTGATGACCATTTCTACTCTATCCTCTTTTACTATACGAACCACTATTCTCTACTCTATTCACTATACTATTTCTTTATACTGATCACTATTCTAGTGAGTATTATCAAGCAAGTACTATTTGTGCATGTGTTATTTGAAGGCATCAGACACCAGCATTGCTCAATGATGTTACTATACTTGTATCTGCGATTACAAAGTTTCTACTTCAACAAGCATTACAAAAGTGACAAGTATTCATTGGCATTACAAAAGTGGTAACGAGTGTTTGTTGACATCACAAAAAATATATATTAAAAAATATAATAATAAATACCATAACGTTTCATAAATTATTGAGTTACGCGAAATTCTATAATTGTATTTCATCTCAATTATTAAATTTTAATATTAATCTAAAAAAATTTTATATTATTTTAAATTTAATTATTTTTTCGAATTTAAAGCATCTTCAAACATAATTAAAATTCAATAAAATATTAGATAATTGCTGAAAATATGTTAATTAATTAAAAATTACAAGGTAGTTAAAAAAAAAAAAAAAAATTTCATTTGGATTTTGTAAATTTATGTCAATTCTTATCATCCATACTAGATGTCAACTCCTCGGGCTAATCAAAAAACGTTTAAAAAAAAAAAACCAGTCGTTAAGAAATGCTTTCTCCTATATTATTTTTTTTTATGCTATTAAATAAATTTTTATTTCAATTTAAGATTAATTCAACTTTAAATTTATAATTTTACTCAAATAACGTGTCACAAATATTATTTTATTTTTGGAAGAATTTTAAACCAATAATTTTGTTTATATAAAAAATGTCTTAGTTTTTTTTTTTTTAATTTTGATCTATCCAACTCGTTATTCTAAAACTGAGACATTTATAATTAAAAAATATTTTTTTTTAAAATGAATAAAATAATGTTTCTATTTTTAGATCAATAAGGAATTTTTATTTCAAAGAATTATTTTCATTTAACTTTTTAAGACAAGCTAACAACTTCAAATGTGTAAATAATGATTTATCAAATTTTAAAATTGATGACCATTTGTCTAATAAAATTTCCCAGAAAAAATCAATTTTTTAATCTAATAAAAAAAATTCTTTAAATTTGTAAATAAAATTCGACTTGTCTTGTTTCGTTAAATTACAATTTTGTGTGTTTCCTCGTCATTTTCCTTCCATACTTCATGTTTCACTTAACTTTTCAGGGCGGATCCCAATTTTTTCATAGAAAAACAAACAGGATTAAATTGCTGTGGTTGTTCGACTTGATATTTCTTTTTCAAGATCGACAATATTTTCGAATCAAATAAAACTTATTATTTTTAAAGTCCGTTGCAATTAAAAACCATTTAATCTACGGACATTGTATTATTGTGATCTTTATCTCTGTTTATTTTTTTAAATTAATCATTTAAAAATGGATGGTGTGTATTTTTTCTAAACAGAACAAAGAAATGACCGGAAACGGTGTAAAAGAAGAATTTTTCCTTGCTTAAAAATAGTCCGGATGCACACAATATCTCACAACATTGTCTCGCAGTTCCAATTTTTTACTCATAAAATTATTTATAATAATAAAAAAAATTACATTGTGTTCAATTAGATATTTTTTTATATATGAAACTGGTTTGGAAAATAAAAAACTAAAAAGAAATTTATTAATCTCAAAATATCAAGTATAATTTAACTAAAAAACAACAGCAATGAAAAAAAAATCATTTTGAAATTTAAAAAATAAAGATATTCATTCATTTAAAAAAATCGTAAATGTAATAAAAAAATATTCCGAAATTATTTAGTGCATAAAATTTATAATTATTTTAAATATAAATTAATAAAACCAATGCTTTGTTGATGAGGACAATTTAACCATCATAAGTAATTCAAAATTTTTCTAAAATCACGGATTGGTCCATTTCCTGACCAATCGCGTATTTTATTATCTTTTCTATATTTTTGGCGCTAAGCCATCCGGAGCCTAAAACTTGTTATATAAAGAATTTCGCTATCAACCAAAAGACCAACAGTTCAATTCTTGGAAAATACGGCACGGCGCTATATTGACATTTTAGTTCTTAATTATTACTCATTCGAGTAATCATACTAATTCCTATTGATATCACTCATGAACATTACATTTTTCTACACTGATAAAACACTGTGGAACTATTCTTTATTTAACTAAGACTTCAATTGAACTTTGTAGTTAAATTACATTCAATTTTGTACTCAACATTTATTAGCTAAACTTACCCTTTTTATTACGGAAGAGGGGAACAACTTTCTTTATACTATTGTTGATATTTGTATATCATTGTTAATACAATATTTTATTAATGTTCCCTGAGCTTGATTATTTTTCTCTCGTGTTTGTTGTGCATTATTCATGTGGGGTGTTGTTTTACAAGAACACAGCCTTCCTTCTTTATTATATTCACGGTGACCCTAGCCGACAATACTTACAGCACCACTACATTATGGTTCTTGTTTTTGGTAAAACACACATAACAAAGTAATCTAACAGGGGAATTTTCCCCTCTGTTTGCAACTGCTATATCGATTATCTAAGAAAATTCACATCGCCCCCAGTAAGAGATACCAATTGCATGATCGCCTGGCCTGTTAGAGGTATGGCCTTGAACTGAACCCAATATTTCGATTCGTCAATTTGATATCCGTTGAAAATGTAAACATTACAGCAACCAGATATAAGCTGTAAGAGAGGATGGGAAAAGTTATTGACCCGACCAAGTAGTTCTTTCCTCACTTGAAATTCTGCTGTTTTGAAACTGGGTCAGGCCGAGAACTTTTCAGCACCTGCTTCTAAAACACTTTCTGCTTACCTTCAACTTGAATATGTTAGTAGTGTGACTAATTTCTAAAGGAATTTAACTCTCAAAAAATCTATCTTTGATAGCTGTGGTGGCATGTTTACTACATCAGACTCTGGTGCGGCTTCCTTTATCAGTTTACACACAGAACCCATCCTAAAAAAAACTATTTTATTTTACTCGAGGAAATTGTAGTTTGCTGGACAAATAGACTAGAATATACGATCGAATGTTTAAGCGAATCGTGTTACCTGGCAACAGTCGCGTTAATTCCCTAAATCGAGTAACGTGAGATCAGTGGATAATTAAAAGGACGGATTAGCTCGATATATATCTTCGATCATGGACTACGGAATGAGAACATTCTATCCACCCACTAAATTGAATCAAGGGTTCGGTTCGTAATTCACTGAATGCGAAACCTTACAAAGGCCAAACGCAATGACGGTAAAAACTGTGAAGACAAAGATTGTGTGAAAATGCAGTAAAAACTTTTACTATTCGTTACAAGCCAATCCTTCAGTATGATTTTGTTCTATTACAAGTAATTAGTGTGTTTTATACGAGCAATACCTATTTAACTATTTTAAAGTACAACGCAATAGGGTAAATGCTAAAAAATGATCGTAAAAATAATACATGATTGCCCTCAGTTTGATAAGGAATTTAATCATTTCACTGCAAGCTAGGCAATAAAGCCACTAAGATGCAAGTGGTCCAGTCAGTTAAATATCATACGTGATACACGCTTGAGTGTTCATGTTTTTCTTTCTCCTTCGAGTCATGATTAGCGAGGCAGAAGATTTTGCCGCAGTTGGTTGCCATTTATATTCTGCAGTAGACTGGTTGCCAACCAAGTCTATAGAACCCAGTCTGTCCTGCCCATAGTGAAGAGTGAAGAAGTGATGGATTCATAACTTTCCTTTTTGTGCGTAAGTGAATGCAACGAACCCGACTGAAATTCGAACTCGGCTCCCCGATTTCTCATTTCAAGCCGATAGCCAATACACCATAACGCGGGAGTGGGGTTATTAAGTGTGAAAGAATATAAGAACAAGATTTATAAGATATAAGAACGTTGATTTATTTTTACGGTTTATCACCCTTTGCAGGTTATTATAGCCAGAAATTATTTCTAGATTTTAAAAATGTGGTGGTGGGGGCATAATAATGATATTAGTGACACAAGTCTTACTAATTAACCCATAGCTCGAGTAAAAGAGGTGGAGTATTTCCAATAGTATTTTCACGTAAATAAATATAACGAACCCAACTGGAATTGGAACTTGGCTCTCCGATTCTAAATTACGGACCATTATCGATTACACCACCCGCACATCCATGCTTACAGCACCTGATATTCCCAAGAGATCACCTATCTAGGTACTGACCAGGCTCGATGTTACTTAACTTCGTTCATCGTACGGGAGCCGGTGTTTCAACGTCATATGGCCGTAAATTCAGTAAGAGAACAGGAATTAAGAAAACAGATGATAACGATTGACATTGCAGTTAAATTGTTGAAGATCGAAGTTGACTGAAAAGGAAGAAGCCAAAAGTGAGTTCCACAAGTGAAAAGTGCGAGAGAGAAGAAACTGTTAGCATAGAACTTACGGTTGCATCTAGCTATTTCAATTGTATGAGACCTAACTGTCAATCTAGTACTGCGCTTAAATCCAAAGGTACCAAAAAGGGAAGCTCATCATAATAATTACTATGACAATATTTATAGAAAAAGTACAGGGAAGCTATGTTAAAAAAAGGGAAAGTGGCTGAAACGGAGATTCCAGGTCAGGGCCAATAACATTGCAGATTTTTCTTTGGATTTTCTCAAGAATCTCTAAATACATAGCAGAAGCACTAAACCAGATGTCGGCAATATTTAATGTGTGGACGAATGGCAAACTTATAAATGTGTAAGATAGATTCTGTCGAAAATAAAAATTTAATCTCTGCAGATTTTATATTGGGAATTAATTCTCGGCTATTGATTGCCATCAATCTAACTTTATTCTTACTCTTTGTTTACGTTTTCTTGACCTTTTTCTTTTTTTTTCTTTTTTATTTTCTCGTTTGCTTTCTTCCATTTTTGTATCTCTCTTTTTTAGTCTATATTTCTGCGTTCTTTCTTGCTCTTTCTTTATCGTTTGCTTTCTTTCTTTTTTCTTTTTCTCCTTTTCTTTATATGTTCTCCATGGCCTCATTTTTAATTTCTCTTGTCATATTTTCTTCTCTTCCTTTTAAGATTGGTTTGGTTCGTTTTACGGCATATTCTTTGCAAGAAATCTGTTTGTAGATCAAGTTTCATTGACATATTTTTGTAAAGAGGGTTTTTTCGAGAGTGAAATGTATTGTTGGTAATATTTTTCCTTCCTCTGAAAAATGTATTGCTGGTAATTTTTTCAAAAATGTATTGGTAGCATTTTTACTACAAAAATCTATTTTTATACTTTCATAGTGTCAACTATTTTTCCACAGCTGGGACTCTTAACTGATGCTACCACCCCGAGTAAGAGTGAACCTGGGAACAACAGCAATTAAGAGATGGTTCTTCGCTTTTCAAAACCTCCCATCTCCCGATCAGAGGCCTTGCTGTCGGATGTAGTCTATCGTCAGAGCCAGGACGATTCCTTTTAATCTTTGTTTTTTTCTTTCATTCTCGTCTTAAATCTTTCTCTTTAACTTTGTACTTTATTTTTATACCTTTCTTTTTCCATTTCGCTTCCGTTTTATTCGCTATAACCACACGTACTTCTTTTTACCAATCAGTAACTATTTTCTGCGATCATTAGTTCTCTTTTTCCACTCCATTTTAACCCAAGAGAAGAATTTCACCCGTTTTTTAAGTTGATCACACACACACACACACACACATATATATATAATTATTAAAAAATATGATTCCAACACACTACATAAAATTCTCAAAACTTCAATATAATTATTTGATTAAAGTACTAAGCTCTGTTCCATCTTCAAGCGAATTTTTTTTTGGGTGGGGGGATGGAACAGAGCTTAGTACTTTAATTCAATTTAATTCAAATAATTATACTGAAGTTTTCGGCTCTTGTTTTGAAACATGTGAACTCTTATGTAGCGTGTTGGAATCATATTTTTAAATAAATAATTATATTTATGCTCTACTTTTGTATCGAGCACTATTTTTTTAAAAATAATAACAAAAATACTAAAGAACTTTGGATTATTTACCTAACGAGTTCTTTTCCTATTTTCTATATATTTTTCATATATATATTTATATACACTCAATATATATATATATATGCACACTCAATATATATATATATATATATATATATATATATATATATATATTATATATATATATATATATATATATATATATTATATATATATATATATATATATATATATATATATATATATTGTGCATTTGGACAGCAATCACCTTTTTATACATGTTTCATTGAAGACAACTGACAAGATACTGCGATTAAGCTTTTTATTTAATTTTCCTTGTGTTCGTACAAGTGTTTTCTTTTCTGGACACAAAGTGTGTAAAAACTGTCCAAAAGTTCTGCATATCCAAGTGCTTTCGGCTATTCTTTTAGCCAGTATCAAGGGCGATTTTTATTTTTAACTGAATGTGTGGAGTTTTTACGTATGTGTCTGAAGTTATAGAAATGTTTTATATTCACAAACACGGTCAGCACATTGTGGCCGTGTCTGTAGTTAATGTTATTGAGTGTTGGCTTTTCCTTTTTTATTGTTTTTTTTTAGGTTTGTTTTGTGGGCGTTAAAGAAACACTTTTGCCTGAGCAGGTGTCTAAAACAGAGATTAGCTATATGTCTATTTCTGAGA